CTAGAGATTGCTTCTGTTCTCTCATTCTGTTCTTTTCGTCTCTGCATTTTGACTGCTCCTGTTTGTTTCTATGTATAAAGTAGATTTGCTATGTCTCCTTGAATTGATAGTGTGACCTTATGCGTAGGGCCCAGTGGCTCAGTCTCCCCAGTCACCTGAGCTAGGCATTCTAGGTGTGCCTTGTGCACTGTCTTATTGTAGTTGAGCTTTGATTCCTTTTGGCATCACTGGAAGAGATTGACCCCCAAGCCAATTGGGGCTTCACTGGGGCTTTGGCGCTCACTGAGTCTGTCTCTTGACTGTGTTGCTTATGGATGTGTTGAATTGTAATCTGGCATGGCCTGAAGCTGTCCATCGGACACACTGGCTCTGAAGCCCCTCTGGAAAGGAAAAGTTTGCCACTGCCTATGCCCTGACTGGGGGTCACCCTTCAGAAGCTTCAGAGCAACCTGCAGATGGCTTCTACTTGTATTGGACTTGAAATTTTCCAGGAGAGGCCAAGCTGTGAAGCAAGGCAGGCTGCTGCTAATGTCAGACCTGGGGCCTCTTATTGAGAGGTATGGGGCACACTGATGCCAGTTGCTACTTGTTTGAGAGATTTTTATAAAGATCAGAAGCCTGAGCCAGGACAGGCCATTCATATAGAAAAATAGCTGCTAACAGCTTAGGTAGAGCTGCAAATTGGGCAGGGCAGGGTCTCAGTGAATCACCAGGGCAGAGCAAACAGTATGAGCCAGGTTGATGTGGACTCAGATATGGCGCCTGCCAGTCAGCTCTATTATGGGGAGGTCTCGGCACAAGAACAATGACTGCTAAGAGCACCCCTATCTGGGAGAAAACCGCCCCCAAGTTCTTGCTTTGATGTCAGACGGTTTAGTTCCTCCCCATATGTTTCTGTCTCCTTCTCCTTCCCTTTTTCTCCCAAGCCACTGCCCCAGTACTGGAGCTCAGAGGAGTGGGGCCATGTAAGTTCATGCACTGGTCCTTTAAGAGGAAATGCCTGGGTTTCCAGCAACTTCTGTGTCACTCAGCCATAATCCCTGTTGGCTTTTATAGCCTGAAGTTATGGAGACTTCTCTTCCCAGCTTTGGAACCCTGGTTTGAGGGTTTGGTGTGGGGCTGGGACTCATTGCTTCTCATGGGAGACCTCCACATCCTAGACATCCTTCCTAATTAAAAAAATACCACAATATGAGTGTTGAACCAGCCAATTTCTCCCTCCGCCCCTCCTACCATTCTCAATGTGCTTTCTTTTATACTTCTGTAGCTGTAGGACTTCCATTCAGGCAGATTTCAGATAATTTGGAATGGTGGTTGTTTTGTGTTCTAGTTGTAATTTTGATGTGCTTGTGGGAGGCTGCAAGTACCAGCATTTACCTAAGGCACTATCTTGGTTCTCTTCTTCAACTTGATCTTAATAATTTTTCTTTTAACATAAAAAATTTTGTATATTGAAACCCATGAAAAATTAGTTATTCCATACTGATTTTAAGACTGGCTCTATCTCTGAGTAATGAATTTGGCAATTTTTAAAGACTTCTAAACTTAGAATTACTGCAAAATAACATAAAGTGTACCCTCCTCTGGAAACATTATGAAAAGTCAGTTTGGGGTGGTTGTTTTAAAGTAAGAAATTTAAACTGGAATATAAACCAGAACATACCACCTGTAGTTTAATGAAGTTATAACTCAAGGCTTTATTTTCTTTAGATTCTTTTATTAAAAAAAAAATCATTATTGATTCAATTGAGAGTCACTGTTCCTCTCATCTATTACATTCCATTCACTCCTGAGAGTAATCATAATCATTGTTGCTAAGAGATCATCCATACCTGAACAGAATATTTATAAAACTTCTTTTAAACCAGGAAGCAAGATCTCAAGTTCTCCAAATGGTGATCATTTTGCAGGTTCTTTTATGCATTTGTAATTAAGACAGGAGCATAAGGAAGATTGCATGAAGGTAGAAAAAGCAAGGCAGAGTAATCTCCATGATTAAGTTTCAGGCTAGTTAATAAGATTAGATGCTCCCTTGAGGATGGTTCCACTGACAAGGGTCTGAAAAAAGGTATTTCCAAGGTGTGTTAACCTAGATGCACATGAAGATGGGTGGGGCTTGGTTCAGGGAAAGATAAACTTTTTATAGGCCAGGGATGTAGGACTATCCACTATCATCTGTCCAGTTAGCAATTTATGATAAAATCACCCTGTGATGCTACTTTCAGTTAGCTTTGTTAGTGCCCCCTTTTCATCCACGTCATAATATCAGTGCAGATCATAGCCATGAATTTATTTAACTTTTACTACAAAAAAAAATCTACTTTCAAATGTTCTAAATTATGTTGCCCAATACAATGGCCATATCCACATGTGGCTATTAGGCATAGGAAATGCAGCTAATCTAAATTGAGATGTACTGTAAGTATGAAATAGACTACAGATGTCAAAGAATTAATGCAAAAAGAAGCATGTAAAATATACTATTTGTAATTTTTATATTCATTATATTTTGAAATTATAAAAGTTTAGATATGTTGAGTTAAAGAAAATATTTTAATAACTATGTTTGGTGTTAGATGGGTACAAGATTTATTGGGGTGATCACTTAATAAGCTATATAAAGGTCTAATCACTATGTTGTATACCAGAAACTATTATAATAGTGTACATTAGTTGTAAATAAAAATTATTTTTAAGGGGAAAAAACTCTTATAGTTGGCACTGCCCCTTCATATCACCAAAGTAATAGAAGTGATCATTTTCCAACATTATTGATATTTCCACGCTACTCTCTTCTTGCTGTTTAGAATGGACATTGTATCTCTGGGCCTAATATTTTCCATCTGTAAAAAACAGTTTGCCTGACTGAGCTCTAGGACTTTTTTTATTCCTTTCATACTGCATAATTTTTTACTTTACATTTTAAAAAAATAAATAGTGCAATCAACTTTTTACAAAGTAATCTTTGTCATATAAAACAGGTAAGTTAACTAGAATTGTTGTGTTTGTTTAACCCAAAGAAAACTTTCAGAGGGCAGAAGGAGGAAAGTGATGCAAAGTATAATATGCTTATTTAAGAAATAAAATGTCCAAATATTTTAAAATCTTCTACCAAATGGAAGAGAAATTGGACTCAATCTTTCTAACCTCAAGGGATCTAACTGTGACTAATGAGAATTTTTAGACTTCTACTCTCTCTTATAAGCAGAAACCTGCTTGATGCATAAGACCACAGAGTGACTTAGTCTCTGTGAAATTATTAAACCAGAAAACTTTTAAAATCATTTTAAATTGTAATATTCTTTGATTCTATAATAGACTGCTCTTCCATATTAGCCCTGTAAAGGAGATTTTATACTTAATATTTACTTAAGATTGAAAACCTTGGTTCAAGAGTATTCTACATAAGAAAGAGGTGATATCCAAATTGACCATCATACCCTTTCAAGATGGCTTCTTATGACCAGGCTGGCAGGGAGATTAGTGAGGAATGACCAAATGACTAAACAGCAGGCTGCATGGAGAAACCAGGCCAGCAGGGGGCAGTAAGAGGTGACCAGGCCAGCAAGGGGGAGTACAGTTAGGGGTGAACCAGGCCAGCATGGGGGGGCAGTTGGAGGCAATTAAGCAGGCGAGAGCAGCATTGAAGGGCAACTAGGTTGTTGAGGGGGAACAGTTGGGGGCAACCAGACCAGTGGGGAGGGCAAGTTAAGGGCGACCAGGCCAGCAGTGGGCGGGGGGGCAGTTAGGGGCAATAAGACGGGGGGGGTAGAGGGGGCAGATAGGGGTAACTAGGCAGGCTGGCAGGTGAGCAATTAGGAGCTAGTGGTCCAGAATTGTGAGAGGGATGTCAGACATCCCCCAAGGGGTCCCGGATTGGAGACGGTGCAGGCTGGGCTGAGAGGAACCCCACCCCCCCATGCACAAATTTTATGCACCGGGCCTCTAGTCCTATATAATCAAAGGCTAATATGCAAGTAGATCAAATGGCAGAATAACTGAACAATCTGTCATTACACAGTCCCACCTCACACCTGCTGCTGGCACCAGCCTTGTTCTCACCTGTTGCTGGTGCCCAGCACTGGCCCTGATCACTCCTCAGGGCTTCTCCACTTCTCCCTGCTCCTGAGGAGCAATGAAGGCCAGCAACTGCCTCTCATATCTACTGCCAGTGATGGCCCCACTCACATCTGCTGCAGGCACCAGCCCTGCTCACACTTGCAGCTAGTGCCAGAGCTGCTGCTCATACCCACTGCTGATGCCCGGCACCAGTCCTGATCATTCTGTGTCATCTGTGGGTAACCCCAATGAGCAGCAGCAGCCAGCTCCAGCTGCCTGGGGGCTTCTTCACCTCCCTCTGCTCCTGAGGGACAATCAGGACAGCAGTGGAATGACTGTTGCTATGAAGCACACTGACCACCAGGGGTCAGATGCTCTATGCAGGAGTTTCCCCCAGTCTGCAGGTCCCAGGCCAGCCAAGGTGGGTGCCAATGGGGACCCCCTGGTCACTCTGCCAGTTGTCCTCGGTGGTCACCCCAGAGAGGGAGGCGACTGACTGTGGTGGCAGAAGGTAGGACCAGCTGGCGAGAGCATGGTGGTGGTGGTGGGAGGGTGCTGGCTGGCCTGCCAAATCAGGTGCCAGTGCCTTCATCTCTCCCCCTCCCCCCATCGCCCTGCTGGTCATCCACCAATCCGCCCTAATTGCCAGCCAGGCCTAGGGACCCTATCGGTGCATGAATTTCATGCACCGGGCCTCAAGTCAAATCATAAATATCACTTCAAAAATTGGTAAATAGGTGAAAAATATATGTGCATGAAGCAAAGAAGGGGACATGAGACACCTAAATCATTCTAGGAGACCTGAGAGGTCTCATCTCCTGGAAGACTGGCTTTTACCTGTAATGTTCCTGTAGCTACCACACTCAACAACAGGCTGCTTAGTTGTGTTGAGACTAATCTCTGGACCAACTTAAGAACTTGGCTCTCTCTTTATCTTTCAGATGTTCTCCTCCACAATATTTGCTGTGATTGGATTCTTGGGTGCTGGATACTCATTTATCATCTCAGCTATCTCCATCAACAAGGGTCCTAAATGTCTCATGGAAAATAGCACATGGGGCTATCCCTTCCACAGCGGGTAAGGTATACCCTGCAAGGGGCACAGTCAGATAAATGGCCAAAGGGGAGACTGCACATGCACATCCTGTCATCTTAATTTACAAGTCTCACGCATGCTGCTCTGTGAGGCAGAGCTGAAGTGTGTACTGGAGTGAAGCTGCCAAGATCTCAGCTCTAACTGCTGCTTTGACTGAGACCAGGAGAAATAATGAAAGAGGGCACCTCAGCTGGCCTGAGGGAAGGAGATTTGTGGTGTCTCCACTGACATTCAAAGTTTATTAGCAGATACACGAGACAACTAGTAATATTAATAAACAGAGAGAACTGGCTTCCATTGTAAATATAACAATGGAAAACAAGAACAATTACTCATTAACAGGTTCACAAGCTTTCACTAATATCCCAAATGGTCTATAACTAAACAGATTTTAAAGGTGCAAATTTACAGCTACTGACATTGGAACACATTATAGATTCTTCATGAGTGTTAATGTTAACAGAAATCTTTAAAATAGCATTTCATATTTTCATTGTGCTTTGTTAAATGCTTCCTTTTTGTGATAGCCAGTTTTGCTCAGCAGACTGAATGGTCTCGGGTTTGATTCCTGTCAAGGGCATGTACATATCTCTATTGCAAGCTCAATCCTGGGGCACATGTGGGAGGTAACCAATTGATGCATCTCTCTCACATTGATGTTCCTCTCTGTCTGTCTCTCCCCATCCCTTCCACTGTCCCTAAAAATCAATGGGGGAAAAAATATCTTCTGGTGAGGATTGACAATAAGAAAAGAAAACAAAAAACTTTCTTCTTGCCCTGGCAAGAAGTTAGGATATTGGAAGAGTCTTGGGTTCAGTTTCAAGTTAAGGTCACATACTTGGGTTGTGGGTTCCATCCCCCACCCTAGTTAGGTTTTATAGGGAGGTAGCCAATTGATATGTCTCTCTCACACCAATGTTTCTCTTCCTCTCCTCCCTTCCTTCCACTCTCTGTAAAAAAATAAATGGGGAAAAATATCTTCAAGTGAGGATTAACAAAAAAACCCACAACATTCTTTTTCTGTGTTTTTTTAAACAAATTTATAATTTAATACCCATAACAACCCCAAAAGGTAATTTACTTCCTGCCAAGACAGGCTTAAGAAATTTGACTTGCTCTAAGTCAGATCACCATGTGGGGGCAGAGGCACAGCTCAAATTCACATCTTCTGACTTCCAAGCTTAGTCTCCTTATATTACACACTAGAGGCCTGGTGCATGGATTCATGCACCAGTGGGGTCCCTCAGCCTGGCCTGCGCCCTCTCATAATCTGGGATCTGAGAAGCGGCAGTTCCCAGCTTACCCCTGCTACCTAATTGTGCAAAATTCCATTGTTAGAAATGTTGCCGTGTTTTCTTTGTATTTGTTTTTAATGTTAAGAATAAAGATATCCTATTTTCACTTAAACCTCTTAAAATATTATAAAACAATGCATGTTCACTAATAAAAAGGTTGAGATTTTAGGCCAGAACTCTTAGCTACTTGAATTTTATTTTCTTCCCCAATAATTCGCTAGAGGCTTGCACTGTTCTCTGCTCTCTATGGCATTCCCAAACCCGAAAGTGAAGTGGCAGGTGGCCAGGGAGGAGCCCAAGCCCAGGCCGGGTGCCACACCACTCCTGCTCATGCCAGATCCACTGCTCCTGCCACCACTGCTGCTTGGTAGCACTGCTGCTGAGGCGGGAGAGGCTTGTGCTGTTGCAACTCTGCTTGTCAGCTGTGAGCCCAGCATCTGGCGCCCATCGGTCAGCTGAACAGCACTTCTGCTATGGGAGTGCACTGACCACCAGGGTCAGCTCCTCCTGCATTAACTGACTGCCCCACTGGTGGTCAGTGCATGTCAGTCAACAAGTTCAGTCACTTAGGCTTTTTAACATATATATAATAGACTAGAGGCTTGGTGCATGAAATTTGTGTATGTAGGGGGGAGGGGGAGAGGCTCAGTGCATAAAATTAGTGCATAGAGGGGGGTTGTCCCTCAGCCCAGCATGCACCCTCTCCAATCTGGGACCCCTCGATGGAATCCTGGTGGAATCAGGGCTAAAACAGGCTAAAATCTCACAAACCAGGACTCCTGGCTCCCAACTGCTCACCTGTCTGTCTTTCTGATTGATCCTAACCACTTCTGCCTGCCAGCCTGATCACCCCTAACTGCCCTCCCCTGCAGGGTTGATCACCCCCAAATGCCCTCCTTTACAGTCCTGGTCCCTCCCAACTGCCCTCTCCTGCTGGCCATCTTGTGATGGCCATCTTGTGTCCACATGGGGGCAAGATCTTTGACCACACGGGGGCAGCAATCTTTTATGTTGGAGTGATGGTCAATCTGCATATTACTCTTTTATTAGATAAGATTCTCTCCCTCCACACTACACTGTCCAATATGGTAGCCAGTAGCCACATGTAGCTATTTAAATTTAAATTCAAATTCATGTAAATTAAATAGAGTTAAAAATTCCTCAATCCCATTAGTCATCTTTCAAGCACTCAGTGGCTACACATGGCTGGTAATAACTGTTTTGAATATCACGGACACAAGGCAGTTCCACCATCATAGCCAGCCTACCAGTCAGTGCTGCATGGACTCAAACATCCACAAGGGCAGGGACCATTTCTGCCCTGTTCACCACTGCAGCCCCTCTGCCCAGCACAGTGACCGACTCACCCAGAGGGTCAGGAAAGATGGTTGTTAGGTTCTCCTGCACATGGAAGATGAGTTCATTACTAGAAAACCTATAGGGCACTGGTTTATTAACTCAAACCCTTTTATTAATTTACAGTGAAAAGTTCAGAACTCAGAGCAGGCTTCAGGCAGCGGAGGTGGCAGTACTGGTTCTGTTATGAGTCTGACCTGAGGTCAAGTGAGTTCACAAGTTTCACATAAAATATCCCCACCTTTCTCCATAGCTAAAGGGGAATATGCGGCTTCCATAACATCCTCATATCACAGGCAGGAATCCCCAAATTTACTGTGAAAAGCCCTCTCATCTCACAGAGGACTGCTGGGGTCCTTGGCCATTCAGCTGTCTTGCCTGAGCATAGCATTCAGATTTCAGAAGGCTGAGCCATCCCCTGAGGTTCTTCCCCTGATGGCTCCCTCTCTCCCACATGGGGGTGTGGCTGAGAACAACAGATTGTCTTCTTCCAAGGACCCTTTTCTTGTTGTTTCTAACAACAGCATCAGCACAGCACTAAACAGGTTTTTCTATTTATTGTGTTATGTGAATGATACTATCCTTGATGAAATTTAAAATGATTTAGAGGAAATCTATGTCTAAAACTAAGAGGGGGGAAAGGGCCCTAACTGGTTTGGCTCAGTGGATAGACTGAAAGGTCCCAGGTTTGATTCTGGTGAAGGGCATGTACCTTGCTTGCGGGCACATCCCCAGTAGGAGGTGTGCAGGAGGCAGCTGAATTGGTGTCTCTCTCATCGATGTTTCTGTCTATCTCCCTCCCTTCCTCTCTGTAAAAAATCAATAACAAATATTTTTTATAAAAAGAGGGGAAAAGGAAACACAACAGACTCAAAGTCACACTCCCAGGCAGTACATTGGTTTCAGATGTCACACATGAAGGGCCAAACACATCCCCTGGCACACTCATGCCCTGCTTCTGAAGCGATGGTCCCATACCCAGTTCTCATGAACTCACTTTAGAGAGTGGAAAAGTCCTTTTTAAAAAGTTTTGCTACAGGTAACTATGTCTTTGTTGGGTCTGTGATTTAACTCAATTTTCTCAGGCACTCAGTTGAAGACACAGGCATTCATATGAAGATACTAAGATTTATCATGATATGAGTAAATATTGATTAACATACCACTAGAGACATATGTATGTATTTTATCCATCATATTCAAATAGCCCCAGGAGATATACTTTCTTAAATAGAGGGATGTGTGTAATGGTTAAGAGCATTGGCTTTGAAGTCAGACAGACCTCAGATCAAATCCAGGCACTTCCATTTCTAGCCTCAATTTTTTAATCCGCAGTGGGTGTATGTTCATTCATTCGGTGACTATTTCCTGAAGGCGACTCTATGGCAGGTCTTGTTCAAGGAGATCAGCAAGTCCTGTTAGGATTGGGGAGGCGATGTAAAGCAGCTGGCCCTGGGCCCGGAACACAGGCAGGGCACAGTAAGTACATGCTGCTGTTACTTATGGAAACTCCCTGTGCTGGAACTGGGACACCCTGTCCTTGTGAGTGTACAATCCAAAAAGAAGACAGAAAAATGCCTAGACAATGACACAGAATGCTAGGAAGCACAGAAGGGGACCAAAACCAGGCAGAGTAGCCAGTGAGACAGTGGGGTTACCTTGCCCTTCTTAAGCTGCAAGAAGTGAGTTGCATGAACTCCATGATGTTCCAGTAATCATGTTGATGGATTACTGCTGCTCCATGGGAATACCCTTCCCAAGAACAGGGTGCTGTAAAACTCTAGCTCAGTACACTGGGTGCACACTGCCTCAGCTCCCCTTCCTTCACAGAGTGTGGAAACATGATTAGTCCCCAGGTCCAAGGAATATGAGGTTGGAGAGTTGGGCACAGCAATCATTGCCGGCATCTCTGAGAGTCCTAGAACCTGAGAGTTTGGGGCAGTGGTCAGCAAACTCATTAGTCAACAGAGCCAAATATCAACAGTACAATGATTGAAATTTCTTTTGAGAGCCAAATTTTTTTAACTTAAACGTCTAATGCCACTTCTTCCAAAAAGACTCGCCCAGGCCGTGGTATTTTGTGGAAGAGCCACACTCAAGGGGCCAGAGAACCGCAGCTTGCCAATCACAGGTTTGGGGGATAGGAGAAGGGCCTGGACAGGCATGTGTGATGGTTTGTGAATGGGACTGAAATGATTGCTCCAGGCACCAAACTCAATCCTTGCTTCCAAGTTCCCCAGTGAGCTGGTCTCACCACCAGGAGGTGCTAAAGGCATAGTTACCTGTAGAAAAACTTTCAAAAAAGGACTTTTCCACTCCCTAAAGTGAGCGCATGAGAGTTGGGTCTGGGACCATTGCTTCACAAGCAGGGTGTTAGTGTGCCCACTGCACACACCTTCAGAAGAGGGAAGAACTCAGGACTGCCAATCACTTTATCTCAGGGTCTTTTCTTTACCAAATATGCCTGGAAAATACTGTCTTCCTGTAACTGCCTATCATCATCAAGTTTAAAAACTGTAAGGAGGGATAAGACTACATGGAGAAATGCAGAACAGAAAGATGAGTGTTTAAAAAATAGTAAGTACTGAAAAGAGGTCTTACACAATAATACATACGGTATATTATCTCAGTGACTTCTCACAACTGAGAGGTTGATTTTAGCCTCTTTTATAAAGGAAGAAACTGGTCTTGCTGCTGGGTAAGGGATAAGTAACTTGTATGAGGAATACACACTAGTAAGAGGAATTCTTGTATTCAAACACAAGTCCATTGAAATCCAAAATACCAGACTCTTCCCTTTAAATCAGACAGCTCAGATTAAGTGAAATAATAATATCAGCTTTTATTGAGACATACCATATGCCTGACACTGTCCTAAGCACTCTACTACTCATTTAATCACAATAATTCTGTGATTTCATAAATAGTCAGCAGCTAGAACATGTGCTTTTATGGAAAATTCCATCAATGTTAAGAACAATGTTTATCTTTAAAGCAAGAGGAAATGCCCTTTCCTTTGTTCTTTCGACTGTTAAATGAAAAGGTATCTTCTGTCATTGCAAACATTTTTAAAATTTTTACACAGTATCTATACTAATAAAAGGGTAATATGATAATTAGTCTGGGAGACCTTCCAGACAAAACCATAGTGGCAGGGCTGAGGCAGAGGCAATTAGGAGCTATCGGGCCAGGAGGTGAGGGCAGTTGGAGGTGAGCAATCTGGTGGGGGGAGCAGTTGGGGGATAGCAGGCCAGCAGGCAGAGTGGTTAGGGTGATCAGGCAAGCAGGCAGGTAAGCGTTAGGAGCCAGGTTTTCTGGATTGTGAGAGGGATACCATTTTGGAGAGGGTGCAGGTCAGGCTGAAGGATCTCTTCCCCCCCCCCCCCACACACACACACACATGACTTTTGTGCACTAGGCCACTAGTGTATTAAATAAGTGTGTACTGATTACTAAAAGGTTCATAATGTCAAAAAAGTCTAAAACCACCCAAGACTGGTTTGGCTCAGTGGATAGAGCGTCAGCCTGCAGTCTGAAGGGTCCTGAGTTCAATTCCCGTCAAGGGCATGTATCTTGGTTGCCGGCACATCCCCAGTAAGGGGTGTGCAAGAGGCAGCTGATCGGTGTCTCTCTCTCATCGATGTTTCTGACTTTCTATCCCTCTCTCTTCCTCTCTGTAAAAAATCAATAAAATATATTTTTTAAAAAGGTCTAAAACCAATAAGATGGGGGTTGACTTAGTAGTCACATGCAGATGGTTTCCCATTGAGGCATTGAGAGGGTAGGCGAGGCATAAAAGAAGAGGGGCAGACAAATCTGTGGCTCTGAGAATGTGAGAGAAAGGATAATGACCCAAAGGTCAGACCGTTTTCCTGTGTTTGGCATTGAAGATGGCGTGCTTCACTTTCCTCCTTCATTGCATGATACCCATTGTCATGCAGTGGACTCCCTATACACAGAATTTGTAAATGTATTGCAGTTCTCCTATTTCAAAGTTTTTATAAAACACATATTAAGGCAGATTATTTAGTGCTTTTAGTTAATTAAATCTTTTTGCAAGTGTAATTCCCACATGTTGACAAAAATATACTTGAGTCAAATTCACAATTTGGTTAGAATTAGACCTTTCAAAAAGTCAAGCTCTCCCCTTTAACTATGTGACATAATTATACTTTACATGGCTTCAGACGGCCACTTAGACATGGCAGAATTGTGGCTGAATTGTGTCAAATGTCCAAGTGGTCCCAAATGACAGTAGGTAGGACCAAGCCCAGTGGTGAGATTCTGTTCCTGGAGTGTCTTCATTTTCCTGGCTCCCCGATCGATACTGAATTTATACATCCTCTCTGTCAGCTCATAAAAGTCACTCTGTCACTTAGCTCTGTGACCTATGGGAACTCATTTAACCTCTCTGTGCCTCAATGCCTTTATTTGTGAAATAGAATTTTTAAAAAGCCTATGGCTTCTATAAGAAATAAAATAGTTATGGATAGCTCAGTTGTTGATCTTTGACCTACAAACCAGGAGGTCATGGTTCATTTCCCAGTCAGGGTACATGCGTGTTCTGGGCTCGATCCCCAGTGTGGGCTGTGCAGGAGGTAACTGATCAATGATTTTCTCTCATCATTAATGTTTCCTTCTCTCTCTCCCTTTCCTTTCATCTCTGAAATCAATAAAAAAAATTTTTTTTTAAATAATTTAAAAAGAAATAAAATAGTTAATACTTTAAAATGTTTGGAATAAGGCCTAACACTTAGTATCCTATCTAATAAAAGAGTAATATGCAAATTGATTGTCACATGATGGCCGCCCCCATATGGCCAAAGATGGCTTCCCCCATGTGAACACAAAATGGCTGTCACAAGATGGCTAGAAGGGAGGGACCAGGCCTGAAAGGGAGGGCAGTTGGGGGTGACCAGGCCTGCAGCAGAGGGTAGTTGGGGGGGACCAGGTCTGTAGGGGAGGACAGTTAGGCATCGATCAGGCTAGCAGAGGAGTGCTTAGGAGATGATCAGGCTAGCAGGCAGAAGTGGTTAGGGACAATCAGGCAGGCAGGCAGGCAAGCAGTCCTGGATTGTGAGAGGGATCAGGACTAAATGGGCAGATCCCCTCAAGGGATCCCAAATTGGAGAGAGTGCAGACTGGGCTGAGGGACACACACACACACACACACACACACACACGTGCACGAATTTCATGCACCAAGCCTCTAGTATAGTCTATAGAAATATTAGATATTGTTGTTAAAAAGTATTGGTATTGACGCAAAACTCTGGGTGTGGAGAGGACATGTATGGGAGTGGGGTGGGGGGGCGCAATGGTAAGGTATGTACACATATAATAACTTAATAAAAATGAAAAGAAAAAAAAGTATTGGTATTATGGGATATTTTTCTTATGGCACTTATATTTTTGGATGAAAGTATTTCAAAAGGAAAATTATTAGTGTGACTTTCTAGTCTAGGTATTGCCTACATTTTACAGTTGTTTCCTTTCTTTCCCATGCCCTGACAGGGATTACCTCAATGTCGAAGCCTTATGGAGCAAGTGCCAGGAGCCCAAAAATGTGGTGCCCTGGAATCTGACCCTCTTCTCCATCCTGCTCATCATTGCAGTGTTCCAGATGCTTCTCTGCACCATCCAGGTGGTTAACGGCTTCCTGGGGACCCTGTGTGGAGACTGCTGTGGGGTAAGTTGAGGTCTGTCTTTACTCCTCAGGATGGGAAGCCAAGGCTAGCCTCCAGCACTAGTGGAATGACACAATGAAGAGGGCTGCAGCTACAGAAAGCCACAGCCAGGCTGGACTGTCTGGCAGCCCCCTCTGTCAACCCAGGGAACAGTGACATTGTGTTACTGGAAACCAGAAACTCTGTTCTCTGTGCATATTAACATTTCCAGGCTCAAATTGATGCAAATTTTTAGCTTCACACTCATTTGACCATAATCCTGGAGACAAAGGCCTGGGTGTGCACATTCACATGTGAAAGTCCCCGGGAAGTGGGCATGTGTCACCATAGCGTATCACAGTCTGGCCTGAAATGTTCTCCCCATTTCCTAACTAGAGCTACAGAGAGGGTTAAAGTTGCCAAGTAGTATGCAGAACATACTTCAAGATATTTTATTTTCCCTGTAAAAGAACAAAACATTCCAGTTAAAAACAAACAACTATATTTTGATGATATATCTGATATAAAAGAGAGAAATATTTCTAAAGTGGGGGGGAAAGGAAAAGTACAAAGGGTTTAGTCTCAAAATTGATTATAAGTTATCAGCAAGGATATAAAAATAAAAATAAACCTATGGGAATAAGTCAGTGCATTTGTTTCAACTAATGACTAAAGCAGATCAGACAAAGTTATTTAAATACTCAGATTTGTGTAGGGGAAGTGGTGGTGGGGCAGGTGGGAAGGGAATAAACAACTTGGTCCTTTAATTGGAAATTGTGTAAATAAGGTAAATAAATGTCTATCTACTTAACATAATATTGTAAAAATAATTCCCTAATTTTAAACGATTCAAATAATTTTCTTTAAATATTTAGCAAGCATTATATGTCTATAAGTCAAAAGTTTTGTGGGTGTGTGTGTGTGTGTGTGTGTGTGTGTGTGTCACATACAGCTATATAGAGAGTATTTCATTGGGAAGGCTGCATTCTGCTCTTGTCTTCTGTTCACCCAATTCCTCCAGTTCTCCACCTAGGGAATGTTACCTAATTTCTCATATATCCTCCCAGAGTTTCGTTTTTATTATTTTTATTTCCCATAGCTTAAAAAGATTTTATCAAAATGTATTACTAATGTTTATGATATAGTGTTATTTAAAAAGAGCAAAATGCAAAATAGATGTATACAGGATATAAAATTATGTAAATAAGAAAAAATACGTTAAATAAAAAGACCTAAAGGAAATTCAACTAAAGTGTTAAATAATAGTTGTTTGTGGATAAGAGGGCTTTCATTTTTGTCCTTCTTCTTACTTTATGTTATTCAATATGAAGCAATTAGTTATTTTAAAATATAAAAGAGTAAACAAAAAGTCCCGGAAATTGCCAAAACCGGTTTGGCTCACTGGTAGAGCATAGGTCTGTGGACTGAAAGGTCCCAGGTTCGGTTTCGGTCAAGGGCATGTACATTGGTTGTGGGCACATCCCCGGTGGGGGGTGTGCAAGAGGCAGCTGGTCGATGTTTCTCTCTCATCGATGTTTCTGGCTCTCTATCTCTTTCCCTCCCTCTCTGTAAAAAATTAATAAAATATATATATTTTTTAAAAGTTCCAGAAATCTGCAAATTATATGTATTATAAGTAAATTTTACTAGTTTTTGATTTTTTTCTATAAATTTTCAATTCTATTGTGTTGGGGGTTTTTTTGTTTGTTTTGTCTGTTTGTTTGTTTTTTTGTCAATACACACAAAATTGGAGAGAAAAATACCAATTAGGTCATCAAAATTATTTTCATGCTAGCAGTGAGAATATTGAGCACTTGAATCTTGTGATTCCTCCTAAATGAATTCTTGCTTTCTGAATCAGCCATTTTATTTCAAACACCAATATTATTTATTTTCCTGCTTTCACACTTCATACTTAGGTAGAAATTTTTTATTGCAAGATTTATTGAAATTACAACTGCTCTTTTAATACAATATAGTAGTTTACTAAATTTGAGTATTATCTATAAATATAACAACATACCTGTAAATGTCAGTACATTGATTCTTTTCAGTAAGTGTCATTTACTCAGATACCACATTTTTTAAATTTTAATAAATAAATCATTGATAGGCAAAAGGCAGTAGATGGTGAACACAATCCTGAATTCAGTCTCCAAGGGTTCAAATGCTGGCTCCTCTGCTTAGCTATGGCTTTAGAGGCATCACTTGAGCTCTCTGTGCTTCTTATAGAAATTATTTTTAACAATAAATTATGCAAAATAGCCGAAACCAGTTTGGCTCAGTGGTAGAGCGTCGGTCTGCGGACTGAAGGGTCCCAGGTTCGATTCCAGTCAAGGGCATGTACCTTGGTTGCCAGCACATCCCCAGTAGGGGGTGTGCAAGAGGCACCTGATTGGTGATTCTCTCTCATCGATGTTTCTAACTCTATATCCCTTTCTCTTCCTCTCTGTGAAAAATCAATAAAATATATTTTTTAATTATGCAAAATAAAATGAAGCTTTAACTTCTATAACCTAAACACAGTCAAGAGATTAAATAAAACTCTGAAACAAAGTCAGAATAGAATATAAAATATCCAATAAGTAACCAATGAGGGACAGGAGTAATCAGAGAAGAGAGGTGACAGAGAATGGAGGTAAAGGGAAGAAGTAAGGCAAAAAATTATGTCATATTAATTAACTTTTTCTACCTTCTAGGGAGATGGACCAGTTTAAACCTCTGTGATGACTTTTTGTAACTCGATGGCATGTGGGAAGACATTCAACGTAATCTCTCTTTGGGGTTCAGTTTCCATCATATCTCAGCTTGGAGTTTTATGTTAACTTCAAATAAAAAAACAGAATGCCTACATAAGTTATATTTTTAAATCTTTCAAATAAGCTTCCTATTAGAATTGAAGAACAGGTAAAAGCTAATTTTTCTTCAAGAATAAAAAATAGATGTCACATATACTACCAAACTACTTCTTTGTATATATGGGTGTTTATAGTTTATTGTTGTTGTTTTTTGTTGTTGTTGTTGTTGTTTTTCTTTTTCTTTTTTTTTCTGGAAGTTTAACATAATTGAAACGATAAAATCACTTTAAAATGAGCAACTAGGACCAATTTTTGTTGTCAAGATTTATGGGGAAAAAAGAATGACTGACGGCCCTGTCAAAAATAATTTTAATTGGTGTCTTTTGGCTAACATGTTTGAATTAATTGTAACTACTCTTTTGAGTAAGGATTTCCTTATGAATGTTAAATTAAAATCTTAATTCAGTGGTAATATAATAAAGACTAGAGGCCCGTGCACGAAATTTATGCACAGAGGTGGTGGGGGAGGGGGTGCTGTCCCTCAGCCCAGCATGCAACCTCTCCAATCTGGGACTCCTTGAGGAATGTCCAACTGCCCGTTTAGGCCCGATCCCGATTCAAGACTGCTCCCAACTGCTCATCTGCCTGCCTTCCTGATTGCCCCTAACCACTTCTGCCTGCCAGCCTGGTCACCCCCTAACTGCTCCTCTGCCAGCCTGAATGATGTCTACCTGCTCCCCTGCCAGCCTGTTTGCCCCCAACTTCCCTCCTCTGCCAGCCTGGTCACCCCTAACTGCCGTCTCCTGCAGGGTTGATCGCCTCCAACTGCCCTCCCTTGCAGGCCTGTCCCTCCCAATTGTCCTCCCCTGCTGGCCATCTTGTGGTGGCTGCCTTGTGACCACATGGGGGCAGGATTTTTGACCACATGGAGCAGCCGTCTTGTGTGTTGGGGCGATGGTCAATCTGCATATTACTGTTTTATTAGATAGGATAGAGGCCTGGTGCATGGGTGGAAGTCGGCTGGTTTGCCCTGAAGGGTGTCCCGGATTAGGGTGGGGGTTCCCTTGAGGTGTGGGGTGGCCTGAGTGAGGGGCCTGTGATGGTTTACAAGCTGGCCATGACCCCCAACCCCTTCCAGCAACCCAAATGGAGGCCCTGGTATCTGGGATGTATTTACCTTCTACAATTGAACTTTGTAGCCTGGAATGGAGACATAGGCCTGCTAGGGCAGGTAGAAAGCTTGGCTTCTTATGTTACCAGAGAAACCTAAGCCTCTGTGGTGGCAGCCATCTTGGATGGGGTTAATTTGCATACACACTCTGATAGGATGGTGGACATGCTTGTGGACGTGGCTCGTGGAGCAGAATGATGGTTAATTTGCATATTACTCTTTTATTTTGTAGGATAGTGAGTGTTTTGAGAAAGAGGGGCAAAAGGTTGCTTTCTTTAATCAAACAAAAAATATGTTTTAAAAGTTGATTTTGGTAATAACATGTCAGCCAATGGCCTAGGGTTAACATACTAGATATTATTAATTTTACTCGAAGAAATTTTATGCAATTTGCAGAAATTTTATGCATGGGAGGGTTTCTCTCAGCCCAGACTGCACCTTCTCCAATCTGGGACACCTCAGGGGATGTCCGACTGCTGGTATAAGCCTGATCCTGGCCTATACCAACAGTTGGACATCTCTCTCACAATCTGGGACTGCTGGCTCCTAACCACTCACCTGCCTGCCTGCACCCTGCCCCCAACCACTCCCATGTTGGCCTGATTGATGCCTAACTGCTCCCTTGCAGGCCTGGTTGCACCCAACTGCCCTCTCCTGCCGGCCATCTTGTGACAACATGGGGACAGTGATCTTGTCACGATGTGGGGTCAGCCATCCTGTGATGATTTGAGGGCATTGCTCGAGGACGAGAGGGCCACCGCGGCTTTTATTAGTATAGATGTGTTATATTATGACACTAAGACTTTAGTTTTATGGGTCAGGCACTAATATAGAATTAAATCCATTGTGTTGATTTAAGTTCAAACCTCAACTCCATCATATACCAGCATAGAATCCTATGCAAGTTACTTTCTAAGTCTCAGTTTCCCCATCTATTAAAGGACGGTTAAGAAATCTTGAAGAGATCCAAGATGTAGGCTTAGGTAAACACACCTATACTGCTGCCATGCACAATTTCAAAACTACAACTAAAAGACAAAACATCTATCACCCAGAAGCATGGAAAAGCTGGCTGAAAGGAAGCTCTATAACTAGACAGAGAGAGAAAGGTCAGGGCACAAGTGCTGAAAAACTGAGGTACGGGTCATGCGTGATACAGGCTGATGGCGGATCCTGGCTAGCAGAGAGTGTTGCTTTCTTCAACAAGAAGAGAAACATTCTCCCAATCTCCATGAGATCCAGTTTCTAGAGAGGAGCTAGACTGTCTGCCATCGGGTCAGAAAGTGAGGGTGGCTTACTTGCAGAGCTGCATGCAAGAATAATTGTTTGCTGTGCTGAGGTGAGAGACATGGGGATGCAGTCAGAGAGGCAGAGACACCTGACGGGCAGCCATCGCTGTTTGCGATGTCCTAGCCTAGTGGTGCCCTGAGTCCCTGCCCCGCACAATCTACAAACACACTCAAGCTCCAAGCAGCGGCTTTTGCATATGAATGGCCTTCTCTATTGCAGTTTAACCTAGCAAACTTGCAACCCGGTACAGACAGCTCCAAAGCCTCCAAGATCCAAGCAGGGAGGAGAGGACTGTGGTTCTCACCGTAACTCCTGTAGGTGGCCTCAGATAGTAGCTGAACTTTACCCCATTGGAGATCCAGAAGCCAGTGTAACTAGTGGTAAGTGTGAGACACCAGATTTCAACCTCTCACATCTATAAGTGACACATCCAGGAGGCAGATTCAGTGAGCATCAAAACCTCACTGAAACAAGGCCTGCACCATAAGCGTGTCTCCAGCACAGCAGTTCTTCCATTATAGACATAGTGGGTCCTCACAGCCAATTGGCCTGGAGGTCAATTCCTCCCAGTGTACCAACAGCAATTAAGGCTTAACTACACCAAGACTTTGCACCCAGCCCACAAAGGAGTGTACCAAAAGCAACCACCTCAGGTGATTGGGAAAGCTGAACTACTGGCCCTTATAGGTCACCTACCACACAAAGCCACTACATCAACACAGGAAGGCAACCAAAATGCAGAGACACAGAAGAATGTCACGAATGGGAGAGATGGAGGAAAGTAAACTACTGAACGACACAGAGTTCAGTATGACATTTATAAGGTTACTCAAGAATCTTTTAAAAACTGCTGAGAAACTTGAAGAGACCTTCAAGGACCTTAATTAGAATACAATAAAAAAAAAAATGGAAAAGGACCAGTCAGAAATTAAGCAAACACTATCTGATATAAAGAATATACAGAAATTCAACTGTAGATCAACATACCCCAAAAGTCAAACCAAAGATCTGGAATATGAGGAAACAAAAACACCCAACCAGAGAGGCATAAAGAAAGAAGAATCCAAAAATGTGAGGATAGTGTAAGGAGCCTCTAGGACAACTTTAAGTGTACCAGTATCAGAATTAGGGGGGGGGGGGGCAAAAGAAGAGAAAGAGCAGGATATTGAAGGCCTATTGAAAGAAATAATGACAGAAAATTTCCCCTACCTGGTGAAAGAAATAGACTTACAAATCCAGGAAGCACACAAAATCCCAAACAAGAGGAATCCAAAGAGGACCCCACCAACACACATCATAATTAACCCTTTGCACTCCGAACCATTCTGGACATTGGCTACCAGCTACTCGATGCTACTTTGTGGTGGAAACGTGCATTGAATTAACTCAATTCCCCATAATCACTACTAAATTGCAATGTCCCCCTGAGAGGGGACATCCGAGTGATATGCTAGAATTCCGATGTCCCCTGAGAGGGGACAGCGGAGTGCAAAGGGTTAAAATGCCAAGGGCAAAAGACAAAGAGAGAATCTTGAAAGCAGCAAGAGAAAAACAGTTAGTTACCTACAAGGGAGCACCCATGATTGTCAGCTGATTTCTCAACAGAAACTATGTAGGCCAGAAGGGGGTGGCAAGAAATATTCAAAGGGATGAAAAGCAAGAACCTATAACCAAGATTGCTCTACCCAGCAAAGCTATCATTCAGCATTGAAGGTCAGACAAAGAACTTCACAGACAAGAAAAAGCTAAAGGAGTTCATCACCACCAAACCAGAATTACATGAAATACTGAAGGGTATTCTTTAAGAAGGGGAAGAAGAAAAAGGTAAAGGTAAAAACTATGAAAAATAGCTGAAACCGGTTTGGCTCAGTGGATAGAGCATTGGCCTGCGGACTGAAAGGTCCCGGGTTCGATTCCGGTCAAGGCCACATACCTTGGTTGCGAGCATATCCCCTGTAGGGAGTGTGCAGGAGGCAGCTGATCAATGATTCTCTCTCATCGATGTTTCTAACTCTCTATCCCTCTCCCTTCCTCTCTGTAAAAAAATCAATAAAATATATATTTAAAAACAAAAAAACAAAAAAAACTATGAATAATAAAAAGACATCAAATACATACCTACCAACAAGTGAATCTAAACATCAAGTGAATAAAAAATCTGAAGATCAGAATGGACTGGTAAATATAATAGAATCAGGGACATAGAAAGAGAGTGGACTGACAATTCTCGGGGGGAAGGGAATCTGAGGGGTGTGAGAAGAGATTGCACAAAAATCTTATACCTATGGATGAAAACAGTGGTGGGGGGTAGGGGGTAAGGGCATGGGGTGGGGTGGGGAATCAAGTGGAGGAGAGCTATAGGGGGGGAGAAGAGGAACACCTGTTATAATCTGAACAATAAAGATTTATTATATAAAAAATAAAATAAAATAAAACCTATAGGTTTATAGTCTGGTTT